AACTGGTTTTTCAGCAGCGCCAAAGCGCAGCGCAGCGGTGGCTGTGGCAACGAGCCAGGCAAACCCCAACCGAGCAGCCAAATAGCCCGTAGCGCTGGGCAGACCGCCAGCTAGACACAGCGCAACTAGCATTAGCAAACGTCGGCAGCAACGGCAACGGCAACAGCAACAGCAACAGCAATGGCAACATTTGCATATTTGGCCATTGAAATTGACAAGTTTTGTCTTCTTGTGTCGCGTCGCATTGGTATTTCTTTTTACATATTTCGTTTTTAATTATTTAACTATTTAGCTGTAGGCATTCGTTGATTGGTATTTCGGTTATTGGCTCATTGTTGAGTAATGCAGACATTTCATATTTTTTTTTAAGATCTTCTGAATAGCCAGCATTTATTGAATTAAATTTTTTTCCGGTAACAATTTTGCACCTTTTTAAATATTGCTTGCAAGAATTTCACTCATTCTTATGTGTAAGAAAATGCCGAAAATTTCACTTTCTACACTTGCGAAACAAACGAATTTATTTTATGAAATGTTTCACAAAGCGAAATTTCTTTTAATTGCAATTAAATTATTATTCTCATTCACAGAGTAATTCACTTTTCAATGACTTCAATGACTTTGAATGTTGTTTGTGTAGTTTGGGTGTGTGTTTTTTTTTACTTTGTTTTATTTTCCTTTTTTTCTTTTAATTAGTGTGCACTAGCGACTTTTCGATTTTTCTCCGCAGACGTGTCAGTTTCGTTTCAAACGCGAGCTAAGACTGTCACCGGCTGTCGAGTTGGAGCATTTAAGCCATTGTCTTTGCTCAGTGTGTCTAGTGTGCGCCCGCCGATCATACATACAAGTGATCTCTTGCTCTCTGCAAAGTCTGGCTCTGAGATGGCAAACAGGTAGTGACAACTACGCGCTCAACTAAGGTTAATATGCTAGTGTACAAGTTTTGCAACAAAAATAAAAAATGATAAATGTTCATTCATTCCAGCTAAGATAGCTTACATCTGAGCTTCTCAAATGGTGATATTTGCATATGTGTTAGTGAGGGTGTGCATGAGTGTCTGTGCGTTGAATGAGCTGCTATTATGTGAGACACGTGTGTAGCTACAGGTGAGGGTTTCACTTGGAGATCTTTGTAATTGCTTGCGCTCAGCATTTTATAGCTCTGGGAGAGTGTGGATTGCCCGAAGAAGCTGAGTAATGTCTTTTCGTATTCAAAGTAAAAAGTAAGATAAAATAAAATAAAATAAAGTCGGCGTCCAAAAATTTTGGTGTATTTAGGTGAAAATACAGGGGTATCAATTTTTTTCTTTGTGAAAATGCAGTTAAATTTGAATTTCAATATAATTATTACTTCACTAGTTTGCTTTCACTCGCTTCGCTGAATGTATGAGATTTCTGTACTTTATTTCAATAAAACTGAACCTGCTTACACTCAGCCAGAAATATAGGAGATCACATTTTGTCTTTTTTAACCCTCTTAAAAATACTTTCAATCTAAAACCTTCTTAAGCTTCTATCGTCTGACACCGATATTTTGGTATACACATTTCACTTAACTCCTTTAATTCAAGTGGAATTAGATTTTATGAAATGAAGAAATAATTCATTTAACTTATTAAATAATTTGGAATTTTGTTTTTTTAAAAGGAGGCAACCCCGCCTTAATTCAAGTTTAATTTTACTTTTTATACGGGTGGCAATCCTCCTTCATATAGTGCAAAAATGAAAGCTTTGTTAGCCATATTGTTGTATTTGATTTACCTCATCAAATAATTTGAATTCAATATCCATATACATATTTCAGTAAAATTAAATTAAATTGGTTTTTTAAATAGGTGGCAATTCTCAACAACGTGTGTTTAGAAATAAAGCCTTTGAAATTGATACGTATATTGTAGTAATTAATTTAACTAATTTAAATTTAATTTTTGCATGATGTAACCAAGATGTTAACCTTCTCCTCCCCGAGACGAACGTATGCGTGTTTCCACGATCGGATCACGGCAACATAGTCTATCGATGTCTACCATAAGCGACTTTATTTTATATACATAAGTGTGTATGTACATTAGGGTATTAGGGTGGTCCTTAAATGTGGGAAACAAATTTATTTTATATACATAAGTGTGTATGTGCATTGGGGTGATCCTTAAATGTGGGAAACAAATACTTACATCAGATTTCCTAAGCCTCAACAAATACACATACAAATTTTGGCCCCGACGGGAGTCGGTTAAGGCGAGACACACAAGGGTCAAAATTCAGATTACCCTATGAAGACGTCTTAACCGACTATAATCGAGACCAAAATTTTGTATGTGATTTCTGCGACTTTAGTAGTATCGATTTTGAGTATTAAATGAAACAAATATTTTTAATTTTTTGAGTCTCCATGGAGCATTTGGCCTTAGACCCAATTGCGACACGCCCTAACCGACTCCAATAGGGACAAAATTTTTATGTGACATCTTCGACTGCGGTAGTAGCAATTTTGGGTATGAGTTGGCAAAAAAAATAGTTTTAATTTTTTGAGTCTCTATAGAGGAATCTGAACTTTGGACCCTGTGCCAACCGTCTCCAATCGGGAACAAAATTTATGTGTGATATCTGTGACCGTGGTATTACAGATTAAAGGGGTGAGAGTGAAAAAAAACTCGCTCATTTGATTTTTATGGACCACCCTAATGCACATATAGAGTGCATAAAGGCATGAATATAAAAATAACAAAATATCTTCCGAAATAACGCGTCCTGGAAGGTTCTTGAAACTATATTTCGCACAGATCGAAATCTTAAATTTCCAGCAAAAACAGCCATTTGTCGTCATGGCGGCATTACGCTGAGAATTGATGATGCTGCCGACTCACTAGCACTTCAAACAGACAGCAACGCCGAAGTGCATGCCGCCGTAGCCAAGATTAAGGCCAAAAAATGGCCAGGTATGGATGGAATCCCGAATGGCGTTCTCCAGCATATAGTTAGGAAAGACCTTAAATTTTTAGACAGTTTTACACAAGATGCATACAGCAAGGTATCTTTCCGGGGAAATGGAAGCAGCAACAACTGGTGCTACTAACGAAGGGTAACAGTCCCCCGAGGAGCCATCATCGCACAGACATTTGGGCATGCTGGATACTGTAGGCAAACTACTGGAAACGATTATATGCGCGCGGCTCCAAGTGATCGGGGACTCTCAAACTGGCAGTATGGATTCCGAAAAAAGGCGTTCAACAGTTGACTCGCTAGCTCCTGAGGGTAAGAGTTGGCAAAACTCATGCCAAACATGGGAGGCCCGAGACATAGAAGAAGGATGCTGCTTGCGGGCGTCAGTTCGTCCCTACTGATATATGCGGCACGAATTTGGACAGCTGCTGCATTCATACCCGCATATATAAGTGCACCGATAGGTATGCTGTATGTTCGTGACAGTATCAGACGAATTCGCAAATTTGCTGGCCGGAAGATGACCATTAGACATAGCGGAATAGGCCACGGCAAAAACCAAGCGCAGTCTTATTAACTGGAAAGAGACTATGCAACCGTGCATCAATGAGTGGAAACAAAGGATGAACGCGATCACGAAAGGGCGTTGGACGAAGAAGTTGATTCCAACGGTAAGCGAATGGATCGAGAGAAAGCACGGATAAACTAAATTCTATCTCATACAGTTCTTCACCGTGCATGGCTGCTTCTGACAGTACTTACACAAGTACACACGTGCTGACCATCCCTATTGTCTTTATTGCGATGGTAAATACGAAAATGCAGAGCACATCCTTATGGACAGCCATAGATTCGAAGACGAACCCAACCAGCTCGAACCCTGTATAGGGAGCGCAGTGCCCCCCAAAGGCCTGCTCAAGGCTATGCTGTCTAAAGAAGGCATATGGAACGAATGCGCAGATATCACCACTGATGTAGTGAAACGTCTAAGGCACGATGAAGGAACAGCGTGGCGCGAAAACCGCACGTTGAGGTATGATACAGAATAACGTCCAGTGCCTTCGTTGTGAAGAAATGTCGGAATTAATAGTCCCGCGGGGGTGCCACAGGCACAGCGTACGTAGGAGGTTGGGTATAGTCCGAGTCGTAACCAAATAAAAAAAACGCAAACACGCACAAAACTTCCCACATTAGCTTCGATGTCATAACTGGCTGTGGCTACGGAATACCAGGTGGGGCTACTCTGTAATGCGATACGAAATCCAAAAATGCGATGCGACAAGCAACCGACACTGCGTACAAATTTACCCTCACAGGTACAAGAAATCAGGGTATGACTTAAATATAATGGGTGGTGATATAGTTATGGAACACAGTGTATATACATACATACAATTGTTAACAATTTAAAAGCTTAAAGGCAGCTCCAATTATTTACACGTAGCTTTAAAATTGTATTTAACTGTATTCGTTTTACAGTTTGAGAGTAGCAGCAAAAAAATCTGCAGCAAAAGGTGTTGGTCTTGACTAAGCCAAACATAAAGCGATGGTAAATTGTAGCCCTTATTAGTGGTGAATTTTTTGTAAATACATAAGAGGTTAGCAATTCTGCATTAGCGCCACCAGATTAACAATAAAAAAAACCAACATCAATAAATAAGCAAAGTAAATAGATTGAAATTTGGAAAAAGCGAGACATATTTGCTTTAAGGGCGAAAGATATTCCATATTGCAAGTGTTCACTTTAACTGAATTTGATTTTTTTATTTAAAGACATCCATATTGTAAAATTTCTTTGAACTTAAAACTTAAAGTAGAATTCAAATTTTAAGCGGGGTGTATCCCTTTTAAAAAAATTAGTTATATGTTAATCTTGGTCATCTGTATGGCATATTTAATGCAAATAATAGCCAGCAAATATGCTCTCAAATTCACTCACACACTTTCACATTTATAAAATTAATAGCATTTGATTTTACTTGTCAATTCAATTGAAATTGAAAGAAATGTTTTATTTAACTTTTTACTTGAATTATTTAGAATATCTCTCGTTTGATACCTATATTAAAACATTTTATTCAAATTTGTAATTAACCTAATTTTAGCTTCTCAAAAGGTGGCAACCTTTTTAAAAAATATTTTCTTAAACAAATAATTTTTGAGTTGATTTCGTTTGACAACCGCATTGTTGTGATATTTTAGTTAACTTATTAATTAATCGATTTATATATTTAACCGATTGCAACACTCTCAAAAATATTTTCGAAACAAAATTTTCAGTTTGACACTCACATTGTTATAATATTTTATTTAACTTATTGATTGATTTAAGTCCTGAAAAAGGTTGCAGCTCCCTTAAGAATATCCTATATATTAATCCAGCTTATAGACTATCTGTGCGCCAAACGTTATCGAAATTCGTTTAGCCGTTTACTCACAAACTTTCACATTTATAATATCAGTATAAGTAATACGAGTATCATTCACTCACCCGGCACTGTTTCTCCATTGAAAGTTATCTGCACAGTGTGTATGCCCGGCTCGTGCGGTGTAAAGCTAGCTACAAAGCGTTGACCGCCCAGCGAACGTACCGACGATGTGACACGTCCACCATTGACGAGTATTTCCAAATTTCCCGAACCCGCCTTTGAGCCATCAATCTCAAATTCAACGGGACGTCCAATGGCACCGTTTGGTATATCTTGTACACGTATAGCACGCGCTCCGGTTGCATTGTTGTCTATGGGTCGAAATCGCGATAATGAACTATAACCATATTGACCATTTCCAGCGCCCGCACCACCAGAAGTGCGCTCCGTAACAACGTGTTCACTAGATTCCTTAACAGTTTTTGTATAGCCACCTGATTTGTCGGTATAAGTGTTGTTCGAATGTGATTTCACTGTAATGGCACTGGGTCTGTGAAAGTGAAAAATTCGAATTATTTCGTTAAAGAGTTACTCCATTACAAATTTCATTTGCTAAACTCACTTGTAACGTTCCACATCATCGACAGAATCACGTGATCCACGTCGATCTGAGTGATATTTCTGTTCTTGTAATGCAAATTTGTTGTATTGTGTATTGCGATGTGTTTCGTGATCGATATCGGGTCGATTATACGAGAGGTCCGTATTTAGTTGCTTTTCCGTCATATTTGCCAAAGATTCGAGCGAATTATGTGAAAGCATATGCTTGGTTTTATTGATAACATCCCAGCTGTCGCGTCGCGCCGTTGTCGGTTTAACCGATGACACACGCACATTCGACGAATGATCGATGCGCGGTTCGGGTGAGGCAGTGCGACGCAAGCGCTCGGCAGTTGTGTAGAGCGAGGGGCTGGCACGTACATTCGAATCGGAAACGTAGTTAGAGGTCGATTTGTATGTGGACGATTTTTCAACAGTGCGAGAAGTTTCATAGTCGGAGCGGTTAAGACCGTTCTGTAAGTGAGAGGAAAAAATTAAAAATGTGAGTGTCTGAAAGTGATACAAAACTTATGGCGTCCAGACGTGGAATAAAAGCCAATTCATTTAATTTAAAAGGATTGCGAATAAATATGTACAAACTGTGGCTATGAAAACTCAGAAGTCGGTTTTTTATAACCACTACAACGTCCACGTCGTGAAAAAAATTTCATCCCCAGAACTTTTATTCTGTTTATTCTGTGCGTAAACTGAATGATAACCAGCTAAGATCAGATGAAACTGCAGAAAGGCTCGCTGCTCCGAAGTCGTGGCTAGGAAATTTCGGCTAACTAATCCCCTTCTCACTCGCTAGGAGATTGCACAGGAACGTCCTAGCTTCAGTACAGCCCAGTGCTGCTTTTCGTAAAGTTTTTCCTTGGTCTGTGACTGAGTGGGCGACCAAAGCCTTTGATGAAAATCATAATTAAGACAATGCCTCAAACAACAAAAAACAATACGCCAAACGCTTACTTCTACAGGACATGAAAAACAAGGACAAGCACTCCGTACTCTCTGCGAAGGAGCAGCTCGTTTTATCTAGTTGGGAGGCTGTGGCATCTGGCGACGGAGTCAGTACTAGTGAGATGTACAGCCAACACTATCTTTCTACTTCAAAAGCATTTCGGCAAAAACACTAAAAGCAGGCTTTATCTATAGCTGGTAGGGCGCTTTCAGTTGGCGGGGGATAAGTGACCGCAAGAGCTTCCACAAATAAGAAGTTTTCTGCCGACTAATCCACGAGCGCATCGGCGAGGTATAATATACAGGTAGCACTGCAAAGGATTTTGAGGTCCGGTAGTCTTAAGTGGCCTTATCGACAAGGTCGTGGCAGACCCGGATACTTACCGCTCTAGTATTAATACCACGGAAGTGTTGCGCGGATACAGAATGATAAAGTGTGATGATAAACTCGCTAAGAACTTTCTGTACAAGAGGTTGACAAGTATTGCTGATACTTGGGAGAACCTGAGGCTGAAGCAAAGCCCTGCCAATGAAATCCTCTAAAAGCAGAAAACTCACATTGGCTTCAGACCTTGATAGTTTGCGGAGCGATGTATTCCGGACATGTTTCTTGTAATCCGATAATAATATGTAACTTTTGGAAAATGCGGACACCAATACCGCGCTCTTTGGTAAGCTAGTTAAAAATTATGTATTGTGGTTGATAATTGCCTGATTAGTATAACTTAGTAAGGTTGCATTTCTCCTTTGGCAAGTCCAGCCCATTACGATGTCACATGAGTGAACTCTTAAAATATATAAAAATGTTGCTGCCTTCATTACAACTGTGTTGGAACCACCGTGGTATCTTAAGGAGGCGTTGAAGATATCCAGAAATTCCTACATGACTTTATACTATAAAAATAGTCTAATTAAAATTTTTCAGTCGCATTACCGCTCAAGCGGGCATTCACCACCTCCTACTCGTCTTCGAGACCCCGAAAAAAGTCATAACCTCCGCTAAGTAATGCCGCGAAATTCCCGATAAGCAGTTCGGAGTATCGTGGTGGAACTATCGTATTGTCTACCGAGGTGTTGAAGATGTCCAAAAATTCCCAGACGGCTTTATACTATAAAAATAGTATTTTTAAGACTTCGGTGGTGTTTTCTTTCAAGCGGGCACACTCCAACCTATCCTCATCTCTTACGTCTTGAGAAAAGTCATAACCTCCGCTAAGTGGGTGCGCGCAATCCTCGCTAGGCAGTGCGGAGTAACGCTTTCTTCGGCAGAACTAGAGGGCGATTCTCATTTAGTCGAACCAGAGCCAGATTGTCCTTGTTTCCTATAACGTCGCTTTGGTTGAAAACTAATGTGCTTTTTCCCAGCGCTTCCGTTGGGCAAACCCCGGGAACCCGAACACCCGAACCACATTCGTGGGGGCCATTACGTCTAACTAATTTATAACTTTTCAATATTATTTCCCTAATTTTTGTCTTGTAGACTCCCATATGGGTCAATAGAGCCAGGATTCAGTAGAAGTTCAATACCTTAACTGACGGTGGAGTATATGACTCTTCTAATAAGCAAAAAGTTAAAACCAATCGAATTTGTTCTTGGATCTAGGATCCTATAAGAAAGAGCCCGTATGTACATTCAGTATTTTATACCAAACTTCAGGCAGCACGAGCTTCAGGGAACGGCCTTCAATGTTTCAGTCCCAGTCTAAACTTCTACCAGTATTGATGGTATATATTTTATCCCGATAGAGGTTGCCATACCCTCTATTTAGAGAGGGAGGTCGAAAAGATGGCAGTTAACTTAATTTCCACCTACTAAACTGTATAGCGTCTTCTACCGCTTTGACTTTGTTGCTTTTTCCATTAACCTAAAAATCATTCGTGGCGTAAGCCCCAAATACTCTGGTGAGACAAATGGATTCGCATTAACCAGCAAATATTTCCAAAATTTCATAGCTAAAAGACATTGTGAAATACTATAATTTAGCTCACCTTATTCAGAGTTGTGACTGGGCTGCCGATTCGATGTGTGGCTGTTGAAATGTAGGCGTTGCTAGGCGAATATCGTTGCACCGGCGAAATCGAGGTGTGTCGTGGACTGTTGCTTAAATTGCGCGGATTCGATTCATATGGAATCGAAGTTTTAATTGTCAATGGACTGTGGGTGCGTACTTCACTCGAGCGTATCTGTGAGAAGTGCAACGCAAAAGCATACATGTTAGCAAAAGTAAATAAATAAAAAAAATTATAAATTATTGGCAAGGTAACAATTGAGCAGTTGTACCGAAAAAAAAACCAAAAACAACAAACATTTAACCAAAAACATTGAAAAAAAAGTTATTTAATTACGCTAGGTATCGGGCTGAGACGTGTCGTAGTAAAAGTGCTTGCCGCCTTGGCGCTGGCGGTGTGACTCTGTTGTTGCTGCTGCTGCTGCAGCACATGGAATTGTTGGTAAAGCGATGGCGCCTGCGTTGGCGAGTCGTCGAAGCGTTCTTCGCGCGGTGGTGCCAATTTCAAGTCACGATCTTTACGTTTACGATGATACGAGTACAATTCATTCTCTTTGTCGTAGTAGTAGTCGTTCTTGGTTGTCGAAGAGTTCGAAGAGACCTTCGAGTCACGGCGTGCAGTATTTAGGGTATATAAATCGGTTGAATTGAAATATTTAGTATTAGGCGAATTGTTGTGTTGATCGCGTGTGAGGTATTGGGGAGCCAGTGGTGGTGGAGTGGATGTTGCCAATTCGTCCTGCGCACGCAATTTTGTGATGTATTGGAAAGTGCGCGCGCGGAAAAGTGTAGGTGTAAGGATGCATGGGTAACAAACACATACGGGTACATACAAACATACAGAATGATGGGAAGAGAAATTAAAGATATTGGTTAGTATAATTTCAGTTTTTACACAGCGTTTTAGTGGCGGATGCGCGGGTGCAGGGCGGTGTGTAGCGGTGCTGGTTTCATTTTATTTTTATTTGGAGTTAGTTACAGCAGAATGTTATTGTTAGTAAGAGTACTTTTTTGCATCATAATTAATTACTAAGTGAGTGAGCGAAGTTACTGATACTCAATGCTCGCAGCACTCTGAGCTGGATAGCAGTTAGCCTAGCAGCTTATTCTACATACGCATGATTTTAGCACAAATGTCCACTCCAAGCTCATAAACTTCAATTTATTTTTCACCCCCCTCCCTTCCACTTACCTCACTCTCCCTTTTGTAGTAGCTCGATGTGGTGCGGTAGTCGTTCGCATCGACCTTCGGCGATATCTGTGGTGAATATGATCTCTGCCGTTCCGAGCTATTGTGATTCAATAAATCTCGCCGCGATAGCGAGGCTGTCGCTGCGGATGTTGCGTTCCTGTAGTCATTGTGCCTTGTATTTGTAGTTGAGGTGTAATGCATTGAAGGACTCTCCGAGCGATGTTTGCTCTCGTGCAAGGGACTACTGCGCGTTTTGCCCGAGCGGCCCTTGGTGCCGACGCGCATAATGAATGGCGAGCCTTTCACATCGTAACCATTGAAATATACATAGACACGATATTTGCCATTATGACGTGGCATGAAAGTGACCCTGTATTTATTTTCGACAATTTTCTCAACGGAACATACAAGCGAGCGCTTATCATGTACAATGTCCACATGCAGTTCGCCAGTGACGCCAACGCCGCGCGCATCCACTTCGAAGGAGTGCGCGCGCAATGGCATAGCGCCATCCAAACCATGCACAGAGACACCGCTGGCGTCGAAGACGGCACAAGTGAATGGTCCGCCCTGTATGTGGCGCCCCTGATAGGTGATGGCGATTTCCCAGATTCCCGCTTCGTCCGGCTTAAATATGGCACTGTGTCCTTCGTCGACCTTCTTCAATGGGCAGTTGTGCGAGATGCCAGTCGGCGAGACGGCTGTGACCAGTATGTCTTCGGTCTTTGGCGCGCCGGTTGCATTTACTAGCACTTCAACAAGACTGCCAAGTGCACAGGGTGCCATACCTGGTGGCGCTACTTGTATAAATCGTGGCAGCACACGGAAGAAGTGTCCGCCCAAGCTGTCCTCGCCGATCTCTACAATAATCTCGTGCATGCCGTACTTTTCGGGTATGTAGACACCCTCGCCATGTGGATTTAAACGTACCGGCTGTGGTTGACCTGATGGCGGTACTACAAAAGCTTTCACCGTGCTAAGGCTAATGTCGCGCGAGAGCACATCGATGCGGAAGTGAGTCTGTGGGAGAGAACTCAAATTAGCGAACTGTTAGTTTTTGGGTCTTTGAAAATTTCAAACTCACCGGCTCGCCGACGCGTCCAGAATTGCTTTCCATAAGTACGTTTATGAGGTCAGAAAGTGGTGGACGCGGTGGCACCCATTGCAAGTGCGCGGCATAAGCCATTATGCCTAAATGCTCTACTTCAGGGTTAGCCATGTCCTTGGGCGTGAGTATGGGTTGTACGCCTAGACGCTGACCCGCCTCGACTGCTTTGCGTATATTGTTCTCATAATGGAAAGGATCGGT